GAACTCATGTGACAGCTGAGAGAGGAAGAGGTGCGGGAGGAGGGACAGGCTGCACACATTTTACAAGTGTTAACGAACAAGCGGCTTTCCCACACTACATTTAGTACTGCCTTCCGAAAGCAAGACTAAATGTAGTAAGCGCAACTTACCACCCGGAACTGTATGTTCTGGGCGTCGGGGGATTCAACCCCGCTGCCGCCCCTCTGCTCCCTGCCGCCCCGGTGGCCTTGTGGGGAATCCGGGCTTTCCCACACTACATTTAGTACTGCCTTCCGAAAGCAAGACTAAATGTAGTAAGCGCAACTTACCACCCGGAACTGTATGTTCTGGGCGTCGGGGGATTCAACCCCGCTGCCGCCCCTCTGCTCCCTGCCGCCCCGGTGGCCTTGTGGGGAATCCGGGCCTGGCTCCACCCACACAGTCTCATCATCTATTAACTGATCCTTAAATAGACTACAAGTTCTGTCTGCCTCTGCGGCTGGTTTTAATTAAATACAAGCGTGGTGATGTCACCGCACTTGTAGTCCATTCATACTTCCTCCTGTCCCTGTAAATCTGCCTGTACCCTTGTAACTGTAACCGTACATCGGTATTGACAGGGACTGGATGAAGAGTCTGCAGGAACCAAAGAATTGCACCCACGATTCACTGATCACAGTTGCAATGCTTTACTGGATCCAAATAAAAATAAATAAATAAATGCACATTTTTCTTTTATGGACATGTGTATGCATTACTTTTTTGTAAAACGTTTTTTTTTAATATGCAACAGCAGGCTTCTTCTGTTTGTTTCAAACAAGTAAAGTAAACTTGAGATGTAGCGGGTAGTATTGCACTGCATATATTGTAGTATTATTGAGGATATTGAGCTGTTCCAGCATTGGCTAAGCATTCTTTTTCTTTCTGTAGCTTGGAGGAGGCTGTGAGTTGGCCATGATGTGTGACATTATTTATGCTGGAGAAAAAGCCCATTTTGGGCAACCAGAAATCTTGCTTGGAACAATTCCAGGTATATTTATTTTGACTCCAAATGTGTTTTTTATGATATAGAACAACCTTTATTCCGGACTTTAGTGGTACTCTATGCAGTGAGTATGTATAATAGACCACACAAATAAAAGAAACATAATTTTAATAATACAAAAAATAAAATTCCAGCATACAGTAAATTAAGTATCTGTATTTGATCACTAGTTATGATTTAAGGCCGTTGTGGCTGAAACGCGTTAGTGTGTCGGTTTTATTAGAAGCTGTTTGCTTTTGATTAAAAAACTTTTAGGATTTGGAGCCATGTACAGTATTCTTTTTACACTTTGCACTGTGTTTGGGGCAGCCAGGAGCTTGTATGGAGTTGAAGATAGAGCAGGAATTCATTATTTTTGTTTAGCTCTTGTGTCTGTGATCCTTAAAGTGACCCTTATGCAAAATAATATTCTTTAAACTGTTGTTACTTGTAAAAGAAGGCAGTCAATACTCAACTTTCCAAGTGCCCACACTGCTCCAATCACTAGAACTGGTCCCCTTGCAGCTCTCACAAGGTATTCCCTATCCCCTCATATCGTCACTCAATCCTGCAATGAACCGGCATTCAAAGCAGAGTTTTAATCTCTACTTATATTTTGACTTCCCCGGTTCCCCCCATCAAAATTGTAATAACTTTTTCAAAAATAATTGTCTATGTGACATGGCACTAAAGTTAAGTTCACATGAACGTTAAAAACATGATTGTTGCACGTTTTTACTGGCCGCCTACCTACAAATTAATATGGCGGCTGTTCGGGTAGGTATACATTGCTGAGCCGGTGTTGCTTTGCGGTGTGACAAATTTAACTTGGCATATCCTGTTTGGCAGACGATGCCACTTGACAAACATGTCTATTGAAATGAATGAGAGCCAGGCCGCAACCATGTGCTAAAAACTTGGCACTAGTTTATTAGTATGAGTGAAATAGGCCCTTGTTTAAAGTTGCCTCATTGGCAAGGCTTTTTGTTAGTTTGTTTCAAATTAGGTATTTGTCAGTAAAAGGGGAATCCTTTACTAATAGGCAGTAAAGAATTGGTGTTGTTGAGCCTCTGATCTGTATATGTGAGGTGGTAATACTGTGTAAACTGTCTGTGGGAATATACATAAGATACCTCTAGGTGCCTGCATGCAGTGGCGTAACAACCGGGGGTGCGGGGGGGTCACTTGCCCCGGGCGCAGGACTGAGGGGGGGCGCCGTCACGACCCCCGCTAAACGAAGCCATGGCTCCCTCTCCCTGACACGATCACCTGGCTGTCATCGGGCGGCCGCTCGCTCTTCCGAGGCCACTGCGGGCGGCCCTCTACACTGCCTGATTGGAGGGCGCGTCTGCCTAGCGCCCATAACTCTGGTTACGCCACTGCCTGCATGCATCTACAATTTATTTCCAGAACACCCCCGGAGTGCCAATAGATTTATGATTTTTAAGTACTTTGGGACTAGACCTTGTACCTCCTCCCTCTTGTCTATCCCTTGGCTACGAAGTGTGATTGGCAGACTCACAGGTCAGTAGGCAATAAGAGGTTGGGTGGCAGCACGTCCATGTAAGGCCTGTTTGCATAAAAATCCTGGGTTTGGGGGCTTCCGTGGCACTTTGGAAATAAATGAGAAATTCCTGCAGAAAATTGAATGGTGCCTGCTGTAGTATCCCACGGCCAGTTTATTAAGTTTGGAAAGCTCACAGGTTTGGTTTCCTTTAAACAGCCTGCCAGATTACTAATTGATATCCATTCATAGTTACATAGTTACATAGTATTTGAGGTTGAATAAAGACATTAGTCCATCAAGTCCAACCTATAATCCATCAAGTCCAACCTATAACCTATAACCATTCAATAAAAGGTGTGCCTGTTTGCCTCTTAAAGAAGGCCGACTGTAAAATGTTTACATACCACTAGAATATAGATGATGTATTGTAGTCCAGAGAAAATAAACAAATAAAAGAAACAACATCTAATAGAACATGACATGCCCAAACAGCATACATGATCTGTTTCTAGTGCTTTCATACCTGTATTATAATGTTTGCTGGATAATCCTGGCATTTACATATTTTGTCATCTTGCTGTTTTTTTTATAGGGGCAGGTGGGACTCAGAGGCTTACAAGAGTTGTTGGGAAATCTCTGGCCATGGAGCTAGTCCTTACTGGTGATCGCATATCTGCTGAGGAAGCAAAGCAAGCAGGTATCCATTCTGACTTGGTAGAAGGAGAATTTACAGAGGCAGAACACTAGATTCTGTACTTTTGCCCTCAATCAATATTTCCACCTTTTACCTTTCTTTTCTGTATACACAGCAAATTATTTCATTTTGCACAATAATTGCCTGTACAGAGAAGTACACACAGATGATATGTGTCAGGTGTATCCATTAGCCTGGGAGCACGAAAACAAACAACTTCTGAGAGCTTATGTATAAGGCCAAGTTCACATAAGTGGGCGGTGGTAATGCAGGATGTTAACATGTGTTACATCAAAGGAAGCCCATTAATTTTGAATAGACAGCCAATGCACTCAAAACCGCATCTGACTTTTTTTTGGAATGCAAGGGTAGTGCATTGCTGCGTATCATGGCACGCTACGGTCTAGGTGCATTGCTTTGGTGTGCCTTTCAAAATAAATGGCAGAACATCGCACCAGTGCAGTATGTCACAACACTGCAGTAGTGTGTACCAGGCAATCAATCTGTTATGCGTTGAACAGTTCAGTAAGCTTCACCACACAAGTGAAGTCCACCCTGTGTATTCCGCCCTCTTGAGAACTGCCTAAGCACCACTCGCTCCTAAGCTGTTAAACTGCCCGCTCTTTTTGTGGGTTGCAGAGTGTAATTTTTTGTATATTCAAAGGGCTTGAGTATTGATTGATTACCTTTCTCCAAATCGTATTTTCAGTTATTTTTATTATGTATTCTTTAGGAGATGCAAAGTTGTTTTTTTAAGCAACGCTCAACCTTCACCCTGACAAACACCCACAACTGTGTGATCTACCACCACACCTCTTGGAGCCCCTTTATGTACAAAGTGATGATTACAGGGAATGTCGAGCATTTTGTGTATATTTTATTTTTATGCTCAGGACTAAAAACTGTTTTAATATTTTATTTCTTTTTAGTCAGGAAAAGTTGAAATATTGCACATTAATATTTTCAGGTGGTGCAACCAAGTCATTAGTTGAGTTAGAAGGCCAAATACTGTATCATAGAAGCACCTTGTATTATTTTTTTTTGGTAAAATAAAGGTCTTATATAAGTAACGCAAAATATAAAATACTAGTTTTAATTTTATGCATCCTGGCACAGTAGCACATTTTGTGTGCTGATAACAAACTGTTATCAGAAAAGTCAATGGTGAAGGGAGAACACTAGGAAATAGTGATGCACCAATACTAGTATCGGTGCAGAGCCGGCCAAACAAGTACTCGTACTTGCCCAAATGCCCCTTCCCCGATACTGGAATCTCCGGTCAGAGGGCGATTTCCTCTGACCGGCAGTGCCGCGAGGGAAAATGGAGCCGGCCAATCAGGAACCCGGGCGGCGTTTTAATGACTCACCACCCAGCTCCCTGATTGGTTGGGAAGCCGGCTCCATGTCGACTGGCTGGGAAGCCGACTTCCCAGCCAATCAGCATCGATCCAGCCAACCAGCATGGAGCTGGCTTACCAGCCAATCAGGAAGCCGGGCGGTGAGTAATGACTGGGAGGCAGACTTCCCGGCCAATAAGCATAGAGCTGGCCAAACAGCATGGAGCCAGCTTCCCGGGCAATCAGGAAGCCGGGCGGCGGGTAATGACACGCCACCTGGCTTCCTGATTGCCCGGGAATCCGACTCCATGCTAGCGGAAGTACCAGTATCGGTACTCGGTATTGGCGAGTAACGAAATATAAATATCGGTACTCATACTCCATACCGAAAAACCGGTATCAGTGCATCCCTGCTAGGAAATCACACTAACAGAAGATCACAGATAATTAATCCACATAATGGTTATTATTTGGATATCTTTTATTATGCACCACCACATTTTTTTTTTTCATTTTGTTTGGGAGCTGTGGGTTTGATTATCTAACGTACCACGTCCAGGAGATCTGGAGTTCATGGTTACAACTGCAGAGTGTAAATGACTCTACTCCATTTAATGCTTCTCATCACACATACTCTAGTAGATACTCTGTTTATTCAGCAGGGGGGACTTACGTGATGAATTTACCTGTGGGCCTGTCAGCTTCCACCTTCATTTTCTCTGTACTTGCCCTGTGACGTAGGTTAGATAAGAAAAAAGTAAAAATGCATCTTTATTGTGTATCACACGGCTGTAGATTCTCAAATCATCTCTGAATTGGTGCTGACACGATCCTTCCTCCTTGAAGGTGGCTACTTTTGTTCCCTATGGTCCCTGTGTTTGTTGTAAAGTAGCCCCCCATCCAAGCTCGCTCCCATGATGGACTACAGTCTCACTTTTAGTTTAATAATTTGTATTGAGATTGTAGTCCAACACAGGAGTGAGCTTGGAGCGGCAGCTAATTTACAACACACACAGGGACCATGAAGAACAAAAGTAGCCACCTTCAAGGAGGAAGGATCGTGTCAGCACCAATTCAGAGATGATTTGAGGATCTACAACGAAGTAAAGCACAAAAAAAATACATTTTTGTTAATAGTTAAGGTACTTGAATTAATGTTTTAGTTTTAGCTCCGGAGTTTAGTTTCTCTTTAAACTTGCAGTGTAGTGTTTTTTTTTTAACAAAATGTCTGTTTACTACTACTCTCTCCAGGACTTGTCAGCAAAGTATTCCCAGCAGACAAGGTTGTGGAAGAGGCAATCTGTTGTGGGGAAAAGATAGCCAGGAACTCTAAACTAATTGTGGCAATGGCCAAGGAGGCTGTTAATGGAGGTGAGTGGGAAAACGTCATTGTATGTTACAATTTTATATTTTATTATTAATTATTATTATTGTATTATTTATTTTATTATTTTATAACATTATATTATCTTAGCTGTACAATAAATAAAGGGAAATGCAAGTTAACTTTTCTTTTACAACAGCTTCTTTACTAATCATTTGCTAAATATATGGATTATTGGAGGGGGTAGCTAAGTTAATATAGAATTTAGAAAGCAACAGGACATTTTAAAGGGATGGTAGATTTAGTGGAATTGTCCTTTTAAGGTTTCCCTCTACCCCCCTCAATGAAGCCCAGGTAGCAAAATACTTTCCTTTAACCCTCTTGAGTGCAGCCTCGCCCGGCGCCACACACAGCCTTCACATTAAAAACTCCCAGCAGCGTCCTGGTCCCACAGTTTATGTACACTACACAGCCAATTCATTCCTTTGGCTGGTTCGTACACCTCTGGTTGCCTCCATCATTTTGGACCATCCATAGAAATGAATGCAAGCTGCAAGCAGATACAGTTGGAGCTGGACATGGCTGTTATTGGAGATGCACCGATACCAGTTTTTCTATATAGAGCACTAGTACCAATTTTTTTTTTCGGTACACGCAGATACTGAATACCTGTGCCGTATGTCCTGATTATGTTGCCCGGCTTCCTGATTGCCTGTGAAGCCGGTGTTCTAGCGAAAGAAAAGCGGCTTCACTGCCTGGCTTCCTGACCAATCAGGAAGCGAGTCATGATGTGCCATCTGGCTACCTGATTAGTTAGGAAGCCAGGCTGCTTACCAACAAGTGAAGCTGGCTTCCTAGCCAATCTGGAAGCCGCGCGGCACGTCATGACCAGCCTCCTGGCTTCACTTCCTTGCTTCCTAGCCAATCAGGGAGGCGTGTCATGACGTGCCCCCGGCTTCCTGATTGGTTAGGAAGCCAGGCTGCCTAGCAACAAGTGAAACTGGCTTGCCAGCCAAACAGCGCCATGCTCACTCGGCACTTGGGGTCAGAGGATATCGGAGGTAAGTATCGGAGCATTTAAGCGAGTACAAGTACTTGCCCAAATACTCGGTATCAGCACCGATACCAATATCAGCGCATCCCTAGCTGTTAGGTCATGCTGAAAAAGCAAAGAAGTGGGATTGATGGTAAGCATTTTACTACCTGGGATTTACTGATGAGAGAAAGGAAAAATTAAAAAGGACAACTTCACTAAGGGTCAAAGAGCTAACACAAAAATCTTGGGCACCAGGTGTATGTTTAACCAGTTGGCATCCGCGGTGTTAAATCCCCTTCCCATCCAGGCCATTTTTCAGTATTCAGCGCTGCGGTACTTTTGACTGACATTTATTCCGTCATGCAACGCTGTACTGAAATGAATTTTATACCATTTTTTGGGGAAAGATAGAGCTTTCTTTTGGTGGTATTTAATCACCACTGGGGTTTTTATTTTTTACTACGTTAAGGAAAAATTACCGAAATTGAAAAAAAAAAAAATCCCCTATATTAAATGATAAAACATTTATTACTACCCAATTTTCTGGTAAAATATAAAAGACGGGGTGACGTCGGGTAAAAAAGACACCAAACATGTCACGCCTTAAAATTGCGTGCGCGAAACCTCAAAAAAATGATAATACCCAAAATTGGCCACAGGCGACGCTTTAAAAGCTTTTACCGCTCATCAGTTTAGTGTTATCAGTGATTGATGGCCCTAAAATGATTGCTCTCACTGCGGCGTTCACGCCGATATGTAACGTGTGTAGCGCAATTGTCGTTTTCGCGCGCTGGTGCACCGGACGCATATTGACGTTTATATGTGGGGGAGTTAAACATTTTTATTTTTTTTATATGTGACTTTTATTTTTTTAATTTATATATTTATTTTTTTGCACTTATTGTTATTGCTATTATATAGGGGATAACAATCCCCCTATATAACGGTATACTGAGCCTAGGGTGACGGGAGAAGGCTAGTCTGCTAGTCCGTCGGGAGGGGTGGTCCTTACTGCTTTACTAAATAGCATGATGACAACACTTAAGAGGTTGGGTCCATGCTAGCCTGTGCTTTAAGGCTAAATTAAAATTTCCATATATCAACAACATTACTTAACGACCATGTAAGACTTATCAGGTGCCTTGTTTCTACAGCATTTGAATTGTCATTGTCCGAAGGAAATCGTCTCGAGAAACGACTTTTCCATTCCACGTTTGCTACGGTAAGGTGCTCTAGGTTGTTCCTGTTGTTTAGCTGTAAATTGGCCCAAGTAGTGGACTAAACATTAAAAGTGATTGTTTTTCAGGATGACCGAAAGGAAGGAATGACTGCATTTGTGGAGAAAAGGAAAGCAACTTTTACAGATCAGTAAACTATCCTGTAGAATATGCAGATCAATCTGAAATATTGAAGCCAATGAAAGTGCTATCACACAGAGCCTTAATTTTATCAAGGAAAAGCACATGGGAGGTAGTAAGCAGCCGAGGATGATCTATTTGTAATATAGGTATTCAGGAAACTGACTATTACCTTCCATACGATGTGTGGTTCTAGTTGGTGCCTAAGACATGAAAGCTGTTTCTACAGATCTGTACCCTGGTAAATGTAATTGTAAATCAACGGGAATGTAATGTTACAAAGTCCATTCTATGTTAATAAATAATCTTTCGCAAAAACTGTATTAATTTTATGTACCATTGTGGTCTTTTTGTCCATGCTTCACCAACACGTGCTTCAGTCTCAGTCAAGGAGGTTTCGATAATGCTTTGTATATGTTGAAAATCATTTTCCAGTCAAGAAAAGGAGAAAAAAAAGTAAATTATAGAGTTATATAATAAATAATCTTTCGCAAAAACTGTATTAATTTTATGTACCATTGTGGTCTTTTTGTCCATGCTTCACCAACACGTGCTTCAGTCTCAGTCAAGGAGGTTTCGATAATGCTTTGTATATGTTGAAAATCATTTTCCAGTCAAGAAAAGGAGAAAAAAAAGTAAATTATAGAGTAATAGTCTT